GCTTCTAGGGTATATAACACGTTTAGCATTTCGACCCGTAGCCGTAAAAAAAAAAAAATAGGCAGTTGTTCTATATCCTTTCTGGTTCATCCAGGTAGAAGTCCTGGCATATTATTATGCCTGAGCGCTTCTAGGATATATAACACGTTTAGCATTTCGACCCGTAGCCGTAAAAAAACAATTTAGGCAGTTGTTCTATATCCTTTCTGGTTCACCCAGGTAGAAGTCCTGGCATGATGTTATTATGCCTGAGCGCTTCTAGGATATATAACACGTTTAGCATTTCGACCCGTAGCCGAAAAAAAAATTAGGCTGTTGTTCTATATCCTTTCTGGTTCACCCAGGTAGAAGTCCTGGCATGATGTTATTATGCCTGAGCGCTTCTGGGATATATAACACGTTTAGCGTTTCGACCCGTAGCCGAGAGAAAAAATTAGGCTGTTGTTCTATATCCTTTCTGGTTCACCCAGGTAGAAGTCCTGGCATGATGTTATTATGCCTGAGCGCTTCTAGGGTGTATAACAGGTTGGCAATGAAATCGACCGCAGACTTTTAAATGTTCTTTTTAGAAGGCACTGAATTATTTTTTCCGGACATAATGTTTGATACCGCATTTTTAATTAATTTTATTTGTCGCCCCAGGATGATGACATGATTGCGTGAAAATTGACGCCTCTATCATATTAGATGCGAAATACGATCAGAGATTAAGGGAATAGGGAATGTTGCAAGCTACTGGGTATCCAGCTGAGATAGCTGACTTTTACTCAGGTATCTCAGCTGGATACTGAGGGGTTTTTTTGGTTGCTAAGACCGTGCAGCTCGTTATGTGAGGTACTGGCCAGGCCGTCGGCTTGGTGTATGTTTGCCCCTTGCTTTAAGATTATGTTTCTAAATGCTACACGGAAAGGAAAGAAGTCGAAACAAGGATTTTGAGGTCACACCTGGGAATCAAACTTCCCGCACAGAAGACTGCGCACACTAACCAACGGTGCTCAAACCAGTGTAGACTGAGGGAGATCGGTTTAAGATCAAATTTTGGCTTATGCGCATGCGCGAAAAAGCAAAAAAGCTCATTTTTGGCCATTCCCATGCTAATTAGCCAAAAACCAGTCTAAACAAGAGAAACTGATGGAAAATGCAACTCGCTGGCAATCACCAAAGGGTAAAACTAATCGGAATTTGTTTTGTTTCAAGTATCACTCGTATTGTTAAAGACGGAATTCGACTTCAGTCCTATAACCATTATAAATTATGTATCCACTGTAAAAAAGAAATAGTTGATTACACAAGGTCGGCACTTTTCTCTGCTTCGAGTAACACACAAAAGAAGGTATCCCTTTTAACAAAGAATGAGATAGCTCAGTCTGTTAAGGGAAATCTCTGTTGAACTGCGATAACAAAAATATGAATTTTGAACAAAATATTTTCCATCCAAATTTCCATAAGAGTGGAAAAGACAATTTAATTCAAGAAAATAATAGACTGAAAATTGCACTATATATCTTTTTTTTTTAATTTATCTCGCCCCGCCATTTTAAAGTTCGTGACGTCATTTGGTCACCTCGGAATCAACGTTCTTCCTCTGTATTCACTACGGAGGGGTAGGGATTATATCGGCATACGAGAATTATCCGCACTGTTAAATTATTTGTAGGAGGAGAGCGAGGTTTGATAGAACAATTTTGTTGGTAAGTGACTTTTCACAAGACAAAAAAGACTCACCAGTAAACACCAGAGTTAGTTGTTTGCTTTTCATTTTTTTCTCTCTCTCTTCAACAAAGCTATTGAAAATTTCTCTCAAAAAAAGTGACTGCAAAATAAAAAAACACTACCACTAATTTTAGGACTTTGGTAGTGTGAAAATACCTCTCAAAAACTTAAGAGCAACAGAAACCACTTTGAATAAATATTTTTAATGAAAATATAAAATAATTTTTCTCCTCATCTCATTTGATCATTGTTAGTTCCTTATACCACGGGCTGCTCACGCTTCCGTGAGAAGTTTCCCCATTGTTTTGCGAAATGTGGTCATACTGTTCTTAAACGCTTCAGCGGGTAATCTAATATTCCTTGTCTCAGAAAAAAACAAGGCAAGCGTAACATTCTTTGAAGTATTCCAACGAACACGAAAGCTTATAGTTTCGTTAAAGCGATAATCTGTTGAATGTATGTATCTGCTAGTCCTAATCAATTATCGTGGTTAAACAAAGTCCTATAGAGTTTTATGAAGTGTGACTACTTAAACTTGTCAAGATGCATTTTGCGTTATTATGTTTGTTTTGATATATTGCGTCTGACATGGTCTGCCTCTGTTTCTGATTTTCAGTTAAGCATTGAGCAATTCTGTCGAGTAAGGTTTAAAAATCTCATCTCCCTTCGTGACGGTCGATTATCACTGATTAGGAATGTTCAACCGTATCCGTGCATTTGCAGTGTTCGGTTGATCTTCGATCCCGAGGGCTGCCCATAAAGCAGGTCTCTAACAAAGGAGCTCCACCCATTTTGAAATATCAAACACAGGAGATCAGTGAATTTGAAAGTTATTTAGCAGGTGGATTGTCCCGCTAATTGATTTTCGTCAAACGCAACAGGTGTAACATCGCTTCCGACTGGTGGCGGGAAATTTGCGTCACGTGACTGGCCCGAAAACAGGTATTAGTTTAGACCATGAATAAGAGATAAGATTCATTTTGCCCCTGGATTGATCGTTTGGTGTTTTGTTCTCCTGGCATTTTTTCTGTCTTTCCACGAACTTAAAAAGTTTTATTTCATTTAGAGAGTTTTGAGGAGGAGGTTTGTAATTTTACAACATAGTAACATGAGGATTTGAAGGCGACGAGAAAAAATTCATCGATAGCATCTCTGACTAATGATGCCAGGACGAGAGACCCGTCATCGCTGAATTCTGGTGTCGGTACTCCTTTTATTTTCGTTTGTGTATTCTGATTATAGACCAAGATTCTTTCATAACCAGGTAAGTGCGTGATGTTATCCTTTTAGGCTGAATTTCCTGATTTTTGTTCTGGTTGAAGTAGAAGTAGTGTTCCTCGAGTCACGTTTGTTTTGAATTAAGCTATACTCGAAAGGCGCATCAAGGGATGCTGTAAGTTTGGTAGACGTTTGCCATTGTCGTCGACGGGTATAATGTCATCAGAAAAATGATTGAGAAGATTTTGACAACTGAACTTACTGGAAGATTACCTTAGCTCTCCTTTTACAATAAGAAAGATATTTCTCAATAAAACGCGCGTACGTTTGTAGAGTATATTTTGCGTGATCATAAAACCGGGCTGTAACCTGCCGGCACAGTTGGGAGCGGGAAAGGTTTTTAAATTCTTTGAGTTTATTCAACACATATATCTTACAAACAATCATGAAAATGTTAAGGTTAAAACATAAATAGAAAACGATTAGAATACTTTGATAGTCCGAGTTAGTGAAATTTTAAGTTGACGATAATTGTCTGACGGAAGCCAATATATCCTAAAAGGGTCAGGGTTTTAATCTTTATTTTAACAAATCCTTACTGACTGCGGAGACAGAATTGTAAGATTCTTCTTCAATGAAATAAGGATTTTGAAATACTTCCTTTCATCTAAGGTAGTTAACCCTTACTACAGTGACTCCAACTTAACAAAATCATCCGACTTGGGACAAAACAAAGTTGCCAAAGGTACTCGCTATTTTTTCAGTGTAAAAGAATAGTTGAGTTACTCTTTTCTCCTTAGTAAAAAAAAAGGTACTTATATTTTCTTTTTATCTTGTCAAAGTCCTCATATATACATACGTAAGTGTTTGAAAGACGCTTTGAGTGTTATACTTTTACTCACTGATTTTTTCCTTTCATATGACAGCCTAAACCAAGCTGAGAGTCAGCGCTCACCCTAAACCAAATGAAACTTTTTGCGTTTGGACTTATCCTTTTGTTCATCTGGAGGGCAGAATCATCAGGAAGTAAGTGCCGTATTTACCGTTTACTAAGAAATATTGCTGGCTTCTCATGCAATATCATGATGAATTCTACCACTATAGCCCCCTATATCCGTTATTGGTGATAAAAACGTTTTTACAAACAAGCTTCAATCAGTTAGTTTAACGAATCTTGAACAGAATTATAAATCCTAAGCATTGTATCTAAGAAATTTGAATAGTTAAACCCGGATTAAATAAAATAACCTCCGCTGACTCTAGATTAACGGAGGTGAATATGTTTGCAATGCATAACTGATTTATTTGTGGTAATTTATTTACATCTTTACCCGTAAAATGTGCTAGAATTTCTTTCATCCCATAAACGGTTGTGAACAGACTGAACAGTTTAATAAGACTATATATCAACGAGAGTTGTTGAAGACTTAAGTTAAAGAAAATGATTGTGAAAAACCTGCGTACAGATTTATAGACAAATGGACTAAGAAAAATTCTGCAACAAAAGTATTTTTCATTTTCTCTCCTAATTGTATTGAAGCGGTAACTTCACCAGAATTCGTATAAACTCCGCGGGGATACTCAACAAAGTTTTATACGGGGCCCGAGTTCCAACCCCTTACTCTTTTATATGCCATTTTTGGACAGAAAAGGAACCCCTTTTGTATACCTTTTATTCACAGATGGTACCCCTTTGATATACTTACTAGTTTACAACTTTACATCCCCGTTAACCGCTGAGTAAACGCACTGTATTTAACGATTCCACGACTTTCTCACAGCGATAAAATGCATTTTTTTAGCCCTTTCATCATCCAAAATGACAGATTTCCCAACCCTTTGATATACTTCAACTTGTTGGATCCTTAACCTCTCATATAACTGAGGCCTGTAAAAGGTACCCCTTCCGGGCGGAGCCTTCCCGTAAAGGACCTAACCCCTCGGGTGTAATCTACCTCGGAGACTCACATATAAAAAAGACGGGGTACTCGTTGTCTCGCCAAGGGGTTATAGGATGTGGGACGTAAAGCACCTACCTTTTCACGTAAGCGAAAAGATTATGTCTAGACAATAAGAAGGAAAAATTTGTCTTCGTATTTTTCTGGCTTTCAGGAAAAAGACATGAACGAACATCTAAAGTTAAAACGCACGTCCGTCGTTCCGTGCATGATGACCATGAAAAATCTAAAGAACATTCTTCTAAACGCCTCTACCAGATGTTGATGAGGAAGAATATTCTAACAAGAAGAAGAAGAGAATTAATGACAGGTCCACGTAAGTGATTTAATCGATTCTGTGGCAGTCTCTTTTAAGGTTGCAATCAGTGCGTCTTTGCCAAAACAAGGCAAAACTCAATGAAAATTTATGCCCTTCGTATTTAAAAAAATCCTGATAGCAGAGGCTACTTTTTCGCGATATATACTACACCGCGAACGTTCGTCCCTCTTTCCTCAGTCAAGCCACGCGAGCGGAGCAAATACAAAAAGAACGCTCCTAGTCTAGAAAAAACTGGCATGCGAAAAGTCTATATAGCAAAAAGCAGCCTCTGTTTGCATGGTACATTAAAATATCCTTAATTTTCCTATGCTCTGCCATCCTTTACTTTCAATAAATATTATGCTAATGAATTTTAACTTGAATACGTTAGGCCAACAAAGATAACCATCTTTTAAATCACTAATTCGCAGGATACATTCATGACTGTGGCCAGAGGACGGGCACTTGTGAAGCTTGACTTAAGATTCATTTTTTTACCATCATGTAAAATTCAAGTTTCTACTTCATGCACTTTCGCAAAAACACATTTTGAATACTGGCATTTAAAGGCGTTTGTTGTTGTTTTTGATTCTAGCCACTACAACTAAGGTAGAAATAAAATTCAGAAAAAAATGGATGGAGGAAATGTCGAACTCACAAAGCTCTCAATACAAGCTCCTTGACGGGAATATCGTGGACGCGGTAAGTCTTATCCCACGTCTTTCGTTTTCGTTTTTTGGAATTGATATTTATTACTTTTTCAAAGCTATAATCAGTTAGCAAACAGACTTCTGATTGGTCTGATCAATTTGCAAGCTTTAAATTAAATTTAAGCTGTAAAGCAAAATCAATTTTTAGCGGACCTCCATTTGGCTATTTCGTTGATCAATCATCTTCATATCAAACTAAATCCACGTTTGGAAAGAAAACAGAACCACTAATTTACTAAACAAAATTACAACTGAACAAAATAAAAACAGAATAAGAAAGAGCACTTTTTAAATGCAATGATATATTTTCTTTTTGTTCAATTTTAGATAACCACCGAACTTATTGGCGACACAAACTACCTAAGTTCCAGTGTGACTGCATTAAAGTAAGTTAAAAAATATTATAAGGATATTAATTTAGCAGGGAAATAAAAACTAGCACTGAAGTAAAGTTTCTTTAAGTTTAGTCTTCTTCTTGTAAATGTTTACATTCGAGGGTAAATTGCCAACATCACAAATAGATATGATTATAGTCACCTTTAGTGGCACTTTTCAGTTCTATTTTCGAGCGAACTATACTACAATTGAACCGTATAAACCATCTTTGTAATAAGGTCGCATTTACTTATCTCTACGTAGAAACTCCCCGGAACCAAATTCTAGTGTGCTGGCAGACCTTGAACTGCAGTTTGTTCCTGGCGAGTTGGACCCAGTAAAACATTTCCGCGGTATTGTTTCCAGCGGACACATTTCGGGGATGATGGTCTACCCCGATTATTTCGTTGTGCTGGGAGGTAAGATACATGGTTTCTTCCTTTATATTGGCGACAAATTTAAAAGAATTTGTTATCCCAGAAGAACTCATATGTTTGGGGTGTTGAAGTTTTGCTTCTTGAGCCCTATCTAGCACTAGATTAAATTAAACCGCATTCTTTGCCTTAATAATTTTTCCTACTTAAGGATATCGTGCCCTGTGCGCCATTGGGCGCGAAAAGGATGACCAGGATGATAATGATGTTGATGATAATGATGATAGGGTGTACAACGAACACCTGGAGTAAAGGAGACTTAAACGAGAACGCAGAAGACCATTGCAGGGTAATAGGCAGTTCATTGATGAGGGCCAATACAAACTATTTTATGTAGGGTAATCTATCTCCCGACCCTTTTAGAATAAAGAGGAGTTAGAGTAGAGATGACTGATTATTCTTTAGGGTTGTGCCTTTGGTCATTGCACCTTGCTCGGTCTATGTCTAACCGAACACGACTTTGTTACGATCTAAAACGTTCCCAATATCCATAATTTTTTTTTCATTGAGCTCTTTTAAACGTCTCCAAGGGACTTGGCTAGTCAACCTCGTTTCCAGGGTTCTCTCCTACCCGTCCCTACGGGTACGAGAGAGAACCTAGTATGAAATGTCGTCTATTCACCCGAACCTCCAACCAGAGGCAACGCGAGCAAGCCGCACGTTGCGGTTTGTGACGAAGAGACGGATGACTTTTCAGTCTAGGACTTGGCTCGCTCTCACTAATAAGTCTAGTTTAACTATGATGAGGATGTATTTATTTTTCTCCTAGACAACAAGCAACAGATAACTGCAGATCAACAGAGCAGCAGCGGCATTAAAAAACCCAGTTATCCAGTAAACATAGAGGCTCTAAGTAAGTAATAAAGGACCAAAAGTCTCTAAGCTATAGCGAGGCACTTTTCTCACGTTAGTACACGTTTATCTTCGTTCAAAAATATAGCATTCACCGACCAGTAACTACAAGTTTTTTAATATGTCTTCATTTTAGTAAAAGATTATCCATATGATGTAAAAATTCAGCAGCCCTGGCATCCCTTCCTTAGCGATATAAACAACCCAAAGACAAAAAGTTTGAGTTCAGGCATTGAGAATACTGTGAGTATCTTTCTATTATCTTTTTTAGTATAGGCGTGCAGTACTTTGTCATAGGTTATGCCCTGTTAGGCCTTTCTGAGGCAGATACCCTCAAAACAGTGCCAAGACTGAGGCCTTGTGAGATAGATTCACCGAGGCGACTTGGGCAGGTATACTAACCTGCATCATTACTCTTGTGATACAAGAATAAACAGTAGTAATTCGGCTGTCAGCATCAGACTCTTTGAGAAAAAAATACCGTAAAATTCCGAAAATAAGCCCCGGGGCTTATATTTTTCAAAGGCCCTTTTTGAGGGGCTTATTTTTGGAGGGGCTTATCTACGGAGGGAAATTTGCGTTTCAAAATCGATTGGGCTAGCCTTATAGTTGGAAGTAAATTTACCGTTTTTGCTTTGTTTTACTTTGTATTTGAGGGCAATTTTCCAAGTACAAGCCCCCGGGGGGCTTATATTTGGGGGGCGATTTAACGGAGGGTTTTTTGCGTTACCGGTTTGGGGGGCTTATATTTGGAGGGGCTTATACATGTAGGGGCTTATTTTCGGAATTTTACGGTATATATTTCTTATTGAAAGAAGATTTCCGTTTGCGTAGTTCAGATTTGGTGCTTGATTTAAAGCAACGACTAAGCTGATATATAATGGTAATTGAACTGAGTGTAGTGCGCGCGAGTCCGCTTTTGAAATCTCGCGTATGATTTCGGACCAAAATTGCACGACATGAGGTTCAATTACCACTTTATTACAGCCATTTTGAAATCGCAGAATTCAGTCAGTACCTATATTTTATTTAACTAGTACCCGTTTTGTTGAGAGGCGGAAACAAAAAGGCTTTTACATCTTATTTTGTATTTGAAACAGAAATGATGCGATTTAGAGCGAAAATGGTGTGATTTGAAACAAGATGTGATTTAGAGCAAAAAGTAGTGTGATTCGTCAATAAATCACACAGAGCCAATCAGCTTGCGCGGATCACCAGTGATTTCAAAATGGATATGATAAAACCTGTTAATTAATTTTCTGTTTTAGTTAAGACAACTATTTGCAGGAGATCCCTCGTTCATAGATGTCAAAGTCATCGGCTACAAGTAAGTTACTACATAATTAGTTAACTGAAGTTTAAAAATTATACAGTTATATCAAATGTTGAGTAGTTTTGTGTGGTTAACGCTTAAATCAGATTCTTTTTTGGCTTTCTTAAACGATCGGTTATCGATTAATGTATTGCCTTAACAGCAAAGTCACTGCGATTAAACATGTTTGGTCAGACCTTTCTTCGAAATTAATTTCTCCATAATATTTTAAAACTATCGCTTCATTGGAGACCCTTATTATAATTAGTTCCAAAGCCTTCAGTTATATACCATACTTACTCCACACTGAAACTTTAAGTACGCTTTGATTTTTTTAAGTATCTGTGGCGCAGTTTTTTTAGTCATATCGTGCCAACTCTTGTTTGTATTTAATATTAGAGAATTGTTTCTTGGGCTTTGCTATTATTGTTAGAAAAGTGAATCTGAGTTCCAGACTTTCCATTTCTGCTATAATAATAAACATACAAAAATTTCTGCAATCTGATTGGTGGAGAACGTGTCAATTCATCCTAAGTATAGTGCAAAAAACGTGAAATTGAAAATGATAAACAGGTGGGCAAAGTTACAAATTGGCTGCCTGGGAACAAAATGGCGGATCGAGTTGAAGACAGTAACAGCATTCTAATTGAAAGTTTAAAGGAAAATGCAAAAAACAAACTCAACAAAGCAAAAACAACTGGCTAAAAGTTAGGAGATCTTGGGCAGAGCAATAGGGTCATGACCAAAAAATTGAAAACTATGAACAGGAGGCGCTCAAGAAAATCGTCCCCGATTTTTGTGCAACAGTGAGTGAAAACGACGGCCAAGACTATGAGCCTGACAGTCTTCGCATCATGGTCACTTCAGTTGACTGTTACCTAAGGTTATAAACAATTTAACAGTTCGAAACAAGTTCTTGAAGAAAAAGCTCAGTCCCAAAGTCTGACAAACACTAACGAAAATGGGCTGTGGCAAAGCAAAAGGCTTGGAAAGGAGAATCCACAAGTCCTGGTACAAAACGTTGGGTAGCTCCTGACTCAATATTTTGGTCTTCGAGTTCGTCAAGAGCATTACAGCATGACCGTTGAAGATTTCCGTTTCGGCTTGGACGAAAACAACATGGAGAGCGTTTAATTCATCGAGGATCCGACTTAAACACGCCAGTCTGGACTGTCTGCAAAACCCCGAAGCTTTCTGTAAAAGATTTTTGCAACTGGAGATTACATGTGCCCCGTTGCAATCTTCAAAGAGTTCCTTTGCCATCGTCCTCCCGAACTACGCACAACCGGTCCACTTTACCTCTCTTGCGTGAAAGATCCAACTTCGCAAGTTTGGTACAACCGGCAGCCAATGAGAGTCAACAAAACCAACCAGATAATGAAGCCAATCATCAAGGATACGTCGCTTGAAGAGCACAGCGCCAGGAAAACAGTTGGTAAAAAGTTGAAGACCGCCGGCATCAAGTGAAGTTCTATTGTGAAACTAACGGGCCAGCGAAACTTGCAGTGTCTAGATGATTATGACGAAGCGGACGAGAATAAACAAAGGCAGCTATATCACAGAATCAGCAGCGTTTCCAATGCCAACCAGCTCTCCCAGACAAACATCGGCAGCCCGAGCATGCTCAACCGTTCACTTTCTTTGCTGCCGGCGCCCAACTTGGGCGGCCCAAGGTTTTCCTTTCCAGGTGCCCAGTTTTTCCAGGCAAAACGTCCAGCGCCAAAGCTTCATGAATTTCAGTTCATTCCACAACTGTCAAGTGACATTTGACGTGAGTAGTGCAAACATGGCTCCAGAAATTCAGTCAGTTTAAGAAAAAGCCGAGGACGGTCATTGATTTGATACTCCTCTTAAGTGAAAACTTGCTATTTTTAGAGATATGGTATTTTTAACACGTTTACGTTTCATGTATGTCAGTCAAGCTTGTCATTTTTAAACCAATCAACTACATATAGACGGAGCATTAGCCGAAAGACACGAAATAAACAAAACCTCGTTGGAAATTTGTTTTATGTATATTATAAAGTAATCACACGATTTTTCTCATGCAATTTGGAATAAATGAGCACTTGTAAAATTTTCAGAGACTACAAATTGCACTTACCCTTTTGTTAGCCTTTGAAAATTTTACTCGCGCTTATTTATGCCAAATTGCACTCGAAATCATGTGATTACCTGTACTAATACTCTTTTTTAGATTGGAGTACATTAAAAACCGTTTGATTTGTTCAAGATGATTCTTTTAAATTGTCTTTATTTTGTTACCGTATTATAGCGAGGATCCCGCAGGTAATCCTCACGCGAGAGTAGTGCTGCGGTTCAAACCCGATGGAACAGATCCTGAAGAGCAGCTCAAAAACCTGATCAGCGGTGGTCATTTAGGGGATGTACCTGTCTTCAACGACTACTTAAGTAAGTTTAGATAGTTTTGGATTGTCATTTATAGTATTTTTGGTGATTTTAGCCCTATGAATGCTTGCATCTATCACAGTTTAAAAAACTGTTTCCTACCGTTGTCGATATGTTTCACAAAATACCATGAGAGACCCAATAACCATTATCAATAGCTTCAGTTGGACGCTGGAGTACCGTCGGCTTCGTCAATAACATTACTACAAGTCCAAACTAGAGTATGGTGTCAAAATGATTCAGAGATTAGGGAAACATGATGGACCCATGAGGTTACAAATTCATTTGACAATCTTAGATAACAAAACTTGACCCTAACCTCGGTCTCCCTTGCAGATGGTCCAATGGCTCCACCGTCTGACCAGAACGCTACGGTCCCTGCTGCCGCTCCTGTTCAAGCTCCTGAAGTAACACAAGAAACAGCTCCTTTACCTTCCGCCTCACCCGCGAACGAAACAGTGCAGAACTATCCTTCTGCTGCCGCACCGGCCACGCCTCAGACTACTGTGACTTACGTGAACCCTGGAGAATGTAAGTGCTAGCTACAACCTCGGTCAAAGAAATTTGGGAATCTTCCGATTCTTTGGCATGCACAGTGTAGTCCCCTCGCCCACTTGCCGTGTTGCAAAAAAAGCCCAGTTTGGGAAAGCTTAAGCGATTTTTCACTTTGTGATGGGGGGTTTGAGGAAGTCGACCAAGTGCCCGAACCATTTTGTTCTCCGTTGTAGATTAACATTCGCTTGCGATGTTAAACTCAAGCGCGAGGATAATTATCTTTGTTTAAAGGTGAAAACATTCTATAAGCCAGCACACGCGCAAAATCAAAATTTTTCCTTTCCTTTTACTTGTGTCGGTGTAGGTGCTGTTGTGCTTGCTTGACATATAAGACTCTTTATAGCCTTCTCATGCTTGTGCTTGTAATGATTGCGTCGATGGTAACAGCCATACATGCTCAGTCAAAGGTAATCATATCTGAAATCCACTCTCTTTTAAAACAGCCTTGAATGGATCACTGAAGTTAAACGAAACTTGGTATGACTACATGGGGAACACAACGAGCACAACCTTCAGGATACTGGCAGACGAAATAGCTCAAGCTGTAAGTCTTCTCTCTGTTCACATAGTATCCTTCTAGTACCCGAAATTCGCGTTTTACAGGGGAATGAAAACTCATAGGCCCCTGTAATTTTGTTTTTGAATGATGCGCTTATAGAATCTTAAACTTGAAGGCAATTTAAGGTAGCTATGAACCCGTTCTTGCCATTCAACTACAATTTGCTCTACACTGTTGATGCTTGGGCGTTGTTTAATTGACATTGCTGTAACATCACCAGAGAGAGTGTGGTATCTGATGCTCTTAACATTCTTGCCTTGTACAGATCACAGGAGCATACACTCCTTACAACTACAGCGTCACGTCTGAAGTTACGGGCTTGAGGTAATAAACTAAAAAGCTGACGTTTCTCTTTCGCTCTTGCACTAGCAATGTAGTTTTTCTCACGGTCATTCTCTTTTTGTTTTTTAGCGAGACGACTGATCAAGAAGTGCTGGCTTCATTCTCCATCCATTTCCCTCCCGGTCAGACTCCGACCCTCGTTCCATTGCAGCAGCTTGTACAGGGAGGAATGCTAAGTGGGATCCCTGTATTTAGCGACTCTGTACAGCAAGCGGGTGAGTTATGATAAACCTCTTGGTCTTCTGGTTTGAAATTTACTTCGCCTTCCAGCTTATGCTTTAATTGGTTTATTTTCAGGGTATAATCCTGCTCCAACACCTTCACCTTACGAGTACTTCCAGCCAAACGCCACACCAGGTATGGTTAGTTACGTCAATCGATAACTGAAACACAAGAGGGACTAGCATTTTAAAATAAAGTTATCCTTTCTTGCCAATATATTTGGTTAAATACATATTGTAAGAGAAGGGATACCTCTGAGGGGCCCTTACCAAAAGGCAGAACTGGCCGGCCGGGCCAGTCATTTTGAAAAAGAAACAAAGTCCTCCTCAAAAAATTTGCCAAAACCCATCACTGCCACGCATATCTGGCGGAGTGTATCCAAATCTATAGTTAAGGTCTCTTTTCGACGGAAAATATAGTTCCGTCATGTTATGGTAAATAGTGAATGCTTTTTAGACTAGAATTGATTTGTTCTAATAGGACCACCGCGTTACCTCAAGGTCTGGTCAGTAGGGTGTAATAATTGTCACTATCTTTTGTTTTCAAAGATCTATTGTGGCATATCTGTACCAGGTGACGGTTTGCTACTAAAAACTTATTCACTGATTAAAATTTTGCCCTCACTAGTCAACAACGCGACATCGCCAGTTCTCCAAGTTCCTGTGTTTAACCAAACAGACACCACAGCTTCTTCAGTGGCACCTCAAACATATAACGCTACAGAGAACCAATCGTATAATGCGACAGCATATCAAGCCTATAATGTAACAGTACCGCAGATCTACAATGTCACAGAACCCGGTTCTGTCCCGCAAGCTTACCCAGTCCCTACTGGGGATATCATGACACCCACAGAACCTGTCTCAAATTTAACTGTTTCTCAAGTAGCGACACCGACTTATTCAGGTTAGTCTCCAATTCATTCTTGGAAACCTGTTTTTCTTCCAGGACTACCTGCACTTCGGCTGCGTGGCTCTGATGGAGGTCAAAAGTGTTGGAACCTTACCAGTGATATTAGTAAACCTGGCAAATTTTGAGCAAAATGGGTGGAAATCAGTCTTTCTGGGGTCTCGAAATTAGGGAGCCCTAGAAACGACGACGGCAACGGTAGCAAAACGTCGCTTTTTAAAAGTCTTCGTGTTTTTTCAAACTTCTTCGCGATTATTTTCATTCGTTTAAATGTCAAATGTAGAAAAATTTCCCCAAAATTGAATTCTTGGGGGACTGAACCCAAGTTTAGAACGATAAAGTAAAAGTCGTCGTGGTCCATTGAAGTCCTCCACAAAACGTCTCATGAGGAATTTCACCTTATAGTCGTGTAGCAAAGAAATGTACAAAAAAGTATTCTGCACGTGTTGCTTATTAAAGTTACTGCTTCTTTCAAGTTATCGTTTCCTTTTCGGTCGCTGTCGTCGTTGCTGACAAGTTCCCTATTGTCGGGATGAAGGGATGAACTCAAAGCCGATCCAAAAGTTGTCTTTAGGAGCAGAGTCCTATCAAACAATTACTTGAAGTTGAATGAATCCCAAGTTCTTTTGACCTCCATTGTACTGGTCAGCGTACAAGACTTACAATCTTACAATCTTTGACAATCTCAAAGCCTCTAGATTGGAACAGGTGCTTTGCTAATCCACTAAAACCTGTACAGCATTGAGCATTTTCACCAACCCTTGACGCGACCATATAAAGCTAGTAGTTTTAACGAGGTTCTCACATAAGAAAAAAGATTGTTAAAGTGGTTTCATAATTTAGTTGAGTGAGTGTGGTCTTAGTGACCAGCTCCGTGTATTTTTTAATGGGATGGTCGGTAGGACGATTCTACTGTATTCATTATTACACTATCCCTATTCCCTCCAGATTCCTCTCTTTCTTTTCCTCTCCTCGGAGGGGCAATGATCGGCGACATTTGATCCCCTTACATCACATACTGCAGGTCTTAATCATTCCATATACACGTTACACAAGAGTATACCCTGCGATGCGCAGTCATTGTTATTGGATAATTATTTCATTTTTCTTTCGTAGTCGCGACTCCAAATCATGGAAAATACGTTATTTCCCATCTCATCAATAATTTTTCGGTTTCATTACAGTTGCTCCGCAAAATAACTCAGTTGTTTCAAACGCATCCAGTGTGACAGCTGATCAGTTTGGTAAGTTTGTTTGCTCCACGACGCTTACTAGGGTTATTAAAAGAAACGGTTGATTTTGGTGAGGAACCCTAAGGTCTGAAAAAAAAGAAGCCTCCTCATACAAATTATATGTATAGGCTGTCCATTGTCTCCGACTAAGACTGTCTTGCAGAGAGTTGTTTGCTATAGGAGTCTCGCATGTGGACCAACCTACCTTCTATAGAGGGATAGGCGATGGCAATGTGCGAGCTAAATGAAGTTTGTCTGGTCTGTTGACGAATGTCTTTTTCGTGTGCCTTACTCATAATCCTTTCGTTGCGTCTTCTCAGTTGCTGCGATTGACTCCTTTAGGTTAGGCGATAAAATTTGGTCCTCACATGTGGGGATGCGTACTCCTTTGTTTTTCATTCGTCTTTTGAGCACATCGTAAAAACCTTGTTTCTGACTGCGATGTGCTCTCTTATCTCTGCACCATACTGCTTTTGAACCAATATGAACTTCCCAGAGAGGCTGCGATGCGGTGCTGTCAGCTTCGACTACAAAATGTATTATGGAGGTCTCCATAAGCAGCTAGAGGTCCGATTGGCTGCTTAGAGGTTACTCCAATAACCTCGATCACTGTTTGAACCGGGGAGCTCTTGAAATATTGAAGAGCCTCCGAAACACTCCAATTCCCCACCCCCCCTTAAAGGCCATGGATAATTGATCGAGTTACGTAAACAATTCTTTAAAAAGAAACCATTTTTTTTTACAGGACAAACGTCGAGTACACCAACAAGTTCCTCTGGTACGGGCCAACTTTCTACACCCCCTGGATACACAGGAGGACTCATTCCTTTACCAGAGGGTAAATTCTTCACTAATGACTTGAGATGTTAGGAATTGCGTCCGACGCATGCGTTGGTTTTAAAGGGTCAGGTTCACGGTTTAGCGTCAAAATGCTATTTTTCTGCTGGGACATGCTGTATCGTCTATGCAAGCAAAATAATCATGTCATAATGTTGTCAAAGAATGAGCACGCGCTGAACCATGAACCTGTCCCTTTAAAACCATAAGCATCAAAGTATTGTGTTCACGTAATTTAGTTATAAGCCACCCTTATTTAAGAATATTTGTCTCCTGTGATTTGCGATTGACCATTGGTTTTATAGGAATTCCCAAGTCATGCGCAGAAATCCGTTCGTCAGGAATTGGTTCCCAGGACGGCGAATACGTTATTCAGGCGCGGCCGGACTGCCACTTAAACATCATCTGTCAGAACATGGATGAACCCAGCCCAATTGAGTTCCTTGGTGGGCCTCAGCAGAGATACTGGCTGTACTGGCATTATGCTATACTTATAAGACTTTCTGCCTATGACAAACAACACGTGGACAAAAGGGCGTGTCTGGAAAATTCAGGTAAGAACATGGAGCATATTATTATAATTAGCGGCTCAAATTATTTCATAACGAATTGATGATTGGTGACATAGCTTTCCTTTCACACGTTTTATGCGTGGCATACAGTAAAAACCCTCGCGTAAGAACCTCCAGTTATTCTACGTTAGCCTAAATTGGTTTTTACATTAATCATAACTAGCACAAATTTAGGCCAGTTAGGTTCTTATTTTCTGAAGAAAAAAATCCATTGAAGCTAAGAGCATTTAGTGGTATTCAGCTTATTCCTTATATAAAATCTGCATACAAATCAAACGTAACGCGGTTAAGAATTCCAACTGGCCGGAGGCAAATCAGCTGTCTATTTACCAACGTGATCGAGGATTTGAACTCGCGACTTCCGTGAACAAATCCAGCTAGTGGTCAGGGCGGAACTTAAACTCGGGGCCTTCGAATTGCAAGTCCAGCGCTCTAACCCGCTCGGTCAAGCTGCCTCCACGTACTTTGTTACGCCAGAAGAAAATTGTTTTGGCAAGTGAGACTGGCAATTCAGCCGTTTCCTTTCCTTTAGTGTTTAAAAACACCTCGTACACTTCTACTACAGTTAGCCAATAGGTAGTCGACTTTCTGAACTTAAAGAAACAAGATTTGAAGTACTTTGCTAAATTTTGGAAACTGGCTCTTGCGTCTGACCACGTACGAAGATGGGCATTCATGAAACCAACATATTGTTGAACCTAAGCGCAGCTGCAAGGTGAAAGACTCTTTTAGACAAATATTCGCTAAAACAAATAATTATCGAGGAAATTTAAGTCAGTTATTTCTAAATTCTTAACAATAAACGTCCCCTCTCCAGGACTTAAAGAAATGACCCAACTGATGGTTAAAATTTTCATTCCTGTTCTAATTAGCTGAGGGTCGAGAGTTTATCACCAAAGTGATGGACGCTGGTATCAAACAGGGAAATCCGCTTGTTCACTGGAAAACCAACATTAAACGTATGATCAATAGTTTTATTGGCAAGATGAAGAAAAAGAGAGACCTTTCTGATGTTACATTAAGCACAAAAGCTATGAAGATTTACAAGAGGTGAGTTGATCCGGTGGTCATGTCTTGCTAATAGTTTGAGTTAACAACTCGCAGGATTTCGTTTGGAGCCTTAAAAAAATCTAGGAAAATCCCGGCTTACAGAGAACATGTTAACCCAGTAATTTGTATCTTAGCCAGAAAAGAAATAAAGTAATTGAAGTAAACATTCCAAAGATGTAAAAAAATTGCTTTCAAAACGAGGTTGAGTGCAAAGCCTTTCTTGAGAAATAGAATGTGTTTTATTTGCATGAGAATATTAAATAATTTTCACATTAATGGTTTTTCACTTAACCTCGCTTCGAAATAGAGGCTTGGGGCAACTCTGAAATACCGTAAAATTCCGAAAATAAGCCCCTCCAAATATAAGCCCCCCAGAATCGTAACGCAAAAAACCCTCCGTTAAATCGCCCCTCCGAATATAAGCCCCCCGGGGGTCTTGTACTTGGAATTTGTCCTCGAACACAAAGTAAAACAAAGCAAAAATGGTAAATTTCCTTCCCACTACAAGCTAGCCCAATCGATTTTGAAACGCAAATTTCCCTCCGTACATAAGCCCCTCAAAAAGGACCTTTGAAAAATATAAGCCCCGGGGCTTATTTTGGAAATTTTACGGTACTCTATTAGCCATCTACAAGTATGGTCTAGGAGTCGAACAAGGGACTATCGAGAAAAAATCCAGCAAGCGGTCAGGGTGGGACTTGAACTGGGGGTCGCTGGAATAAAAACTTTAAGTTTTTCGAAACCTTGTGGAATGTAAAAGAATGCCTTCAAGAGCATATCTCTATTTCCTATAGACGGGCGCATCCAGTAATGGTCTTTCGTCTCTTTCTTTCTCTTTTTTAGATTTGCTTCGTGAAAGATGAAAGAGAATTACTGACGAGTAGCTGGTTCCTTTTCAAAGGGTTAATTGTCTTTATTCACGAAGCAATCTCATCTCACCAGATGGACATTGTTTTGAAATTTAATCAATATCCATCATTGAGAATAATAAATATTTTAAATGAAGATAGATTTATGCATCTGTTGTGGTTGAACTTTATCCATGTTTCAATTTGGTTTCTTTTGCTCAAACTATCGTCTACATCATCAAAACGAAGGAAAATAAAATTTGAACAAAGGATAAAATTGAACTACAACACTATGAGAAAATAGACACGACTTCGCTAAGCAGAGTATGCCGGCATTTAGTCTGCGATCCCCCGCAAGAAGTATGCAGAGCCTTATATCATGATGGAAAAGGCAAATGAAACGTCTTTCCGGGTCTTTTACCGTGTTCTGTTAGGTCATTCGCTGCGATCCATAGCCAACTATAAGTAACTGTGGCTACTGTGAAATTACCTCAAAACACACTGATAAGTATGATATGTACAGGAAATAGCATGTTTGTAATGATGGATTTTATCAGAAACACCACAAATTATATTATTATTAACAGCCGTTAGGCGAGTAAAATGTGGAACAATGTTAAAATATCGCGAATGAGACATGCTATTACGTGTTTATACTATTACTCCTGAAAAAGTTCTGTGGACAGTTTTTTATTACGTCGCGCTTAAGGAGGAGAAGGAAACTGGGCCGAGTTAACATTCACAAAGACTTCTGGGACTGTTACTAGAGACATGGAAAAAAATTGGCCAATAGCTGACCGACCCGTTCCCAGACACGATTGCGGGAAGCATTTCCGCTCCAGTTTCCTTCTCGTTTCTAAAGTGGCGAATGATTGGCATTGTGTGATAGGTTAAAAGTATTTTTTTTTCCTAAAAGGGAGAATAATTTAGTCAAATCCCTAAAAAACAGATGCAAAAATATGTCTGCAATTAATCGCCGATCTATGACTGGGTAACGTCCTAAAATATGGCAGCCTTGACAGCAAATCAACTTTCTTTCACCTAGCCTGGGAGCAAGCTCTCCATTTGGGCGAGCGAAGCGAGCCACGTGAACGTGGTACGCGCGTGTACTTTTTACGTAAAAAGTGCACACGCAGGCTGCCTTTCACCTTCATCTATCATCAATATGTTGGTTACATTTATAGTTGGCGTATCTTCCCTTCAGTGGTCAACAAACTGTGCTAGGTAAAAGAAAAAACTCTTGTTGTTCATTTTGGATTTCTTGGTACTCTTTTAACAACAGAAACTCGTTCTCACGTTAAGCGAATGTGCGACATTGAACCTTTGTCTTGGCTTTTACGTCATGTGCCAACAACTGGCATTATTTTTTTTTTGGTTATCGAAAGTTTCTTCTGTTTTGAAAAACAAGGCTCGATCCTGTGACTTCGTACGGATATTGCTTTCACCTGAAAAGGTAGTATTCAAATGAGCTTATTTCACATTAAACCAAAGTGCAGCTTCTTTCAGCTAATAAAACTGCAGAATTTTCTCAGGTAATAGTATAAGAAATCGTAATTTGAAATCGATGCTGAAGTTGTTCGTTAAACTTATTTCAAAATCACACTTAAAAACCGCTTAATATGAACATAACAATGTAAAACATTCTTTTGCAAGCTAAAACAACTGTTAAATATGGTTGGGGGTTTCTTTCTGCTGACTCTACGTCCTCTCGTCAGCAACAATTTAAAACCGGATCACATAGTTGTTTATTTCCAAATCAAGCGCAATTAAAAGTTTATTTTGTCTAGAAGACGGTGTTTGTTTTATTTACCTTTATTATATAAACTGCAGTGTTTTACAAGGATTTCTACCACCGAGAAACGTGGTATCTGAACTCACGTAAAAATACGATATTTTTACATGTGAAGATATCGATAATTTCACTGACATCAGATTTGTCTCTTAAATTGTACTTAAATTCGTTGGTGTATCATCGAAACATCTTCGGGTCTTCCTGGAAAGTGCTCGGCAATCTTCGGACATCTTCGGAAATTTTCGGAAAATGCTCGGGAACGCTCGTCTGGTCTTCGGGACCATTTGAAAAATCTTCGGAAATCTTCGGAAGGTGGTCGGAAATCTTCGGAAAATCATCAAAAACGTCGTCATCAGTATGTTTATATAGTAAAAAGAATATTACACGTGAGCTCGAAGATATGAATTTTATGTTCTCGTGGCAAGAGCAATATCTCACTCGTTCGCTGCGCTCACTCGTGAGATATTGTTCTTACCACTCGAACATAAAATTCATATCTTCTCGCCACCGTGTAATATTCTCTATTTACGCAATGTATAATGCTAAATAAAACTGCCAATCCATAGCTAGGAAGAGGTAGGAATGAAAGATCATAATACGTTTCTGGGAAACTGCCTACCTACCCCTCCCCTAAGCCAACATTAACACTTACTTCCCCCTTAGGGCAAAATGGTGACTTTGGGGAGGGGTAGGTAGAAATGAAAACTTGCCATGGGGTCCACAGGGATAAGCGTACAGCGTTCAGCACCACAGTTTCTTTAGAAAATAACCCTTTTACTCTTGAAATTTAACGCGTATGGTTAATTAGTGAAATCCAACAAGTGGTCTACTATTATCAATGCTGCGTTCTGATTGGTTGAGCTACTACTAGGCTATATGTTATAGGCTACTAGTAGCGAAAAGCGACGGCTTTGAAAACCAAAACAATGGCGGCTGAATCGTGTTTTGCTAGCTAAAGTTGTTTTGTCTTGATATTTTCGACCAACTAGTTGGATTTTACTAAAACAATTATTCCTCTCGCCCTCAAAGAAATTTGAAAGAATGACAAGAGGGGCCATGGACACACGTCTGCGAGTGCTGAAGGAAAGCAAAAAAGTAGGTTCGACAGCTGCAGTGTGAGAAACAGTATATTGATCATATCCCATGTTACCTTTCGGGATTGTCGGGTGCACATTTTTCCGACAACCTTTCTCGAAATAGTTGTACGTCTTGGCTACACCAACTTGGCAAATATGACACTTACGAGGGACATTACAACACGAGATTTTAAAAAAAACTTTTGACAACACAGTGCTAACTACACTGTACGTACACAACTAAGAGAATGGCTTATTTAAGATTTCAAGAGGGGTGGATCTATAGGATTTTTCCGAGGTTGGATCTCGAGTGAAAAAGCTTAGCTCAGTGGTGGGAGCACTTGCTTCGTGCAAATGCGCATGCTTTGTCCAATACTCCGGCAATGAATGGCTTTGTTAAAATTCCCATTGTTTTGCTTTGTTCTTTATTGTTATGCTTTTGTACAGTATTGTAATATTAAGACAATACAATACAATGCCATTTGTCGCAGTATTGAACCACCCTCACAACGCTGCCAGATTGCGAATCACGGAAGCCATGTGTAGTTTGAGTTTATTGGTGTTTGGTATTCGGGAACTCCGATTTTCCCCTCAAAACCAATCTATCCAAATTTTAATTGCGATCAGGAGAATCACTGAAAAAGAAGAGCCACTTTCTTCACGTGGTGCCAAAACAAGTCATTTATCATCTATTTGTTTTTGATTGGAGGTTTCAGTCCAGATTTTGCATCGTAAGTGTAGATGGACACAAAAGGGTGAAGAGTACCTGGCATCATTAAGAAGGGGTTGGCAGGTCCTAAAGGATCCCCTCCATTGATCTCATCCTCAGAGACAAGTATTCCTTGGGTTCTCCCTCTGCTGGGATACTTGTAGCGCGGCTGGGCTTCATCAAATTTCGCCACTCCTAAGGGATCTTCATTCCCTGACTATTAGGGCTCGCTTCATCTATTGCTACTTACGTTTACAGCTATTTAAGGTTTAATATCAAAGTGGATAATATTGTGCAGTTTTCATGATTTTGTGTAATTTTCTGGCAAAAAATATCTTTTATATTGTAAGAGCATTGAGAATTAATGTTTTGCGCTAGAAATAAATTATTATCAGTAATACTATTTTTTTTTACCTTCTTACTTCTTTGCAATTTTATTTTAATACATTATAATAATATTATTGTTATTATTACTATTAATACAGGCGAAGAGGGGGCCTCGCAAGGTTTGTAAGTTTGTCGCGCGGCGCGCCTCGCGCGTTCATCGTACAGCGAGGCAGAAACTTGAGTTGCGAATAT